TGTGCTTTTCCTATACAGATATATGGATTAAAGAACACTCGCTGACGAAAAATGGTGATGTTGTGGGCCTACTTCAATTATATTGCAAAAATAACACAGTGACAAATTTTTTTTTTACTAAAAAACAAGCTTGGTAAATGGATTGGATGTTCCATAGCAGTCTATGCACAAATCATGGATTGGGGTGTTGGGTTCTTTTGTCGTTTTCGGTTGGTTCACTTTAAAATCATTGTGTCCGTTCCAATGCTTCCAACATTAATATCGAATTTCCACACACGACCACCATTCAGCCATTCCAACAGGTGCAGTGATCCCATCTTTTCTACGCTCTGTTCCATCATACACGACTAGATTCATAAAAAGATCGAAACCTCGCAATTTACCCGTAACAAATCGTCCAACATTCAACTTTAAATCCAATCTTTTATCCATAAACTTCTTTAATTCTAGTGGATGGGCTTTGCTCACGTTGATAATGCGCGATACAGATTACAGATACCGAAACATACAACGCGTAGCATTCACTAGTCTTTTCAAGCTGACACGTCCGCACCCGACGACGGTCGGAAGTACCGTAATAATACCAGTACCGTCATGAGGTTGAGTAGTGTTTTTTTTTAACTGTGAAACATTGCCAGAAGTTGATGAAATGTTTGAGAGCTTGGTTCTTATAATCACAAATTGACGAAAGACATCTCCAGTCGATGACAACTTTGCGAAACTGGACCAAAGTGTGCATATAGAAAACTTCCCCGCAAACGCAGATCTGTACGAAGATGATGAGGTATTAGATGAAGACTAATTTTTTTATTTCAAGTAAGACTGGCGACTTCCAACACGAACATCATTTTACGATATTTTAAATTGGCTGACGAATTCCGGCAATCTGATACTTACAAAGAACATGAATTTGGTAAAAACTCAAGATGTCAAAAATTATTATTACGACGAAAAATTGTACAAGTAATTTTAGTAGGATATCAGCAACGTCCAAACTCATGTGAGAGGATCTATTGCGCCATACCACTGCTCACACAAGTTTAGGCGAAGAAAAAAATATGGGTTGCAAGCAACTTTCAGAAAAACAGTTACAAGATATTCTCGAGCACAAAGGATACAATCAAATTGTCAAAACTAAAAAGAAGAAAATAGCTGTATTTGCTTAACCCCAACAGAAAGGAATCGCCAAAGACACTTATGGTTGAAAAGAACGAGACAAGGGATACTACACCCTAATATCTCCGAATAAAAATAGAATAGAAGAGACAGCTTCAGAGACTCACCATTCCATAACACTCACAACAAGTTGTACGATTTTTTCCCACTGTTTACATCGTACATTGAATTTTTAGGGAACACTCTCCTCTTGGTGTGAATTTTCATATGTTTATTCAAGTTCCAAGAATGTAAAAAACATTTGCCACTTATCTCACAAGAGTATGGCTTATCACCTGAATGGATTCTCATATGTGTGTTCAAATGGGTTGATTGTGAAAAGCATTTGCCACAAGTTTCACAAGAATATGGCTTTTCTCCTGTATGAATTCTTCTATGCGCATTCAGACTACTGAAACTTATGAAACAACTTTCACATGAATGGATTCGCATGTATGTCTGTTTAAATTACTTGATTGTAAAAAACATTTGCCACAAGCATTACAAGAATATGGCTTCTCTTCTGTATAAATTCTCCTATGTACATTCAAATTACTGGAACTTGTGAAGCATTTACCGCATATTTTACAGGAGTATGATTTTCCCACTGTATGACTTCGCATATGACTTTTCACATTATCAGCATTATGCATCTTCAAATTACTTGCTGTTTTAAAGTCTTTTCCACATATTTCACAAAATAATTGCTTTTCTTTTGACATATCAGACGCTCATTCAGTTTACGAGATATTTATAAGTATAAGTATTTTATATTTAATCAGTCAACTACCGCATGTAATAAGATACTCTAGACTAAATTTGAACAATCAATAAAATCTGGTAATGAAATATTATATATTTATGTGAATTAAGTCTGAATCAAGCTTCGGGAATTGAGAATAACGGCATCAATTGAAATAAAGTCGTCAGTCATCTAAGTAATCAGTTATCACTATTTAAAATATGTGAAATGGCGGTGGCAATTGGCTCAATCGAAGAATTTATAGAAGATCAGGAAGACTGGCTTACGTATGTTGAAAGACTGGAGCAATTCATGATTGCTAACGAAATTGCAGATGGGAAAAAGGTCAGCGATTTCCTCAGCATCATTGGGCGTAAAACCTTCATGCTTGTACGTGACTAGGTCGCCCCGGAAAAACCTGCCACGAAAACATTCGCAGAACTCTGTAAAGTGTTAAAAGATCATTTGTCGCCGGAACCACTGGTTCAAACAGAAAGATTTCGCTTCCATCAACGAAGTCAAAAAATATGGAGAAAGTGTGTCAGCTTTTTTACGCAGATTTAAAGCGCCTCTCCACCACATGTGAGTTCGGTGCTGAGTTGGGAAACACACTTCGCGACAAATTCGTAAGTGGACTGAAATGCAGCCACTCACAAAATCGATTGATAACTGAGAAAAATTTAACACATGAAAAAGCGTTGCAAATTGCAGTAGAAGTTGAAACTGCTGCAAAAGTGCTTCAAGGCAAAAATACTGCAAATTATGAAAGTGAAAATGCTCATTACGTAAAGCGTGATGCATCAAGGAAATGCTACAGGTGTGGTAAAATTGGACATCACCCAGATAAATGCTGGTTTAAAGAGAAATATTGTCTTAATTGTAATAAAAGAGGTCACACCAAATTTGTGTGTAGATCTAAACCACACCACAAACGAAACTCCCAGCCACGACCTGGGCGTCATCAAAACTGCACTAGAGAAGCAGAGAAAAGCGTCGCTGCAGATAAAGTGGCATCGAAATTTCTATCGAATATACAAGTGGCAAAAGTGAATGAAGAAGTGTCCGTCCATGCCACTGATATCCTATGGATACCTGTCAAAGTAGCAGGAAAAGTAATACAAGTGGAAATGGATACGGGAACAGCAGTATCGATAATATCGAATAAAGATTATCAAAAGCCTTTTAAAAATGAGAAGCTCACACCTACTGCTATAAAAATGAAAACGTACACGGGTGAGCCATTAAAACCACTTGGGCTGTTACCAGTTGGAAGTTCAATGTGGAAATGAAGCTGCAAAATTGAAATTGTATGTGGTCGAAAAAGGTGGACCACCATTAATGGGAAGAGATTGGATCAGAGCATTGAAAGTTAACTGGAATGAATGGGACAATGTGAATAGCCTAAATCCAAATGAAAATCCAATTGATATAAAAAAGGAACTGGATACCTTACTGAAAAATTATGAAGATTTATTTAAAGATGAACTTGGTACTGTCAAGGGCCATAAAGCTAAATTTGTAATAAATGAAAATGCCCGTGTTCAGGAAGGCATGTCAAGTAACCTTCGCCATGAGACCAAGAATTGAAGAAGAGTTGAATCGTCTCGACAAAGAAGGAATACTCACCAAAGTACCACATAGTGATTGGGGAACACCTATTGTAGCTGTAACAAAACCAAATGGTCAAATACGTCTCTGTGGTGATTTCAAAGTAACTGTTAATCCAGCTTTGAAGATTGATCAATACCCATTCCCAAGAGTTGGAAGAATTGTTTGAAATCGTAGCTGGTGGACAAAAGTTCACAAAATTGGATTTGAAAAATGCTTATTTGCAATTAGAAGTCGATGAAGACAGCAAACATCTACTCACATTGAATACACACAGAGGACTGTATCGTGTAAATAGAATGGTTTATGGAATTGCATCAGCTCCAGCTATCTGGCAATGGGTTCTGGAACAAATTTTGCAAGGATTGCCTAAAGTGGCATGTATATTAGATGACATGATCATCACTGGATCAAATGATGAAGATCACCTCAAGAATGTGGGAAACGTCTTAAAGAGATTAAAAGAATATGGGGTGAGACTGAATTTAACAAAATGCGAAATTTATGAAAGATCGTAATAACTTTCTTTGGCCATGGTATTGATTGTAACGGACAAACATATGAACAGAGAAAACTTGTCAAAGCAATTGTGGATGCACCCCGTCCTGAATGTATCAAGTCCGAGCAATTCACTGGTATGATTAATTTTTATGCTAAATTTTGTGCTACAGCCAATTTAATTGTCTATTGAAAAAAGGGGTCAAAAGTTCGTATAGTCAAAGTCGTGTGAACAGAGTTTTTTAAAAGCGAAACAATTGATTGCATCTGATCAAGTATTAGTGCATTATGACCCTAAGAAACCAGTGAAATTGAGTTGTGATGCCAGTCAATATGGTATTGGTTGCGTATTATCAAATGTAATGAAAGATGGATCAGAGAGACCCATTGCTTTTGCGTCTCGAACATTAACAAAGCAGAAATGAATTATCACAAATTGAAAAAGAAGCTCTGTCCATAGTATGGGGTGTGAAAAAGTTTTACCTATATTTATATGGTAGACGGTTTTACACTGGTTTACAGACCATCAACCACTAACATCCATTTTCCACCCGGATAAATCAATTCTAAAAATGACAGCTGCTCGTTTACAGCGTTACGCAATGTTTCTAGCATCACACCAATATGACATCGAATATCGTAAAACTGAAAATCATGGTAACGCAGATTTTTTATCAAGATTTCCATTGTCTGAAAGTTCACATACAGATGATGAAGAATATTCTTTACGTTGTATTTTTGAAGAATTCCCCGTCACAAGTACGGAAATAAGAAAAGCAACCACTAATGAGCCAATATTGTCTAAAGTAGTAGATTTGGTCCTGAAAGGTTGGCCAAACAAAATCAAAAATGATGAATTGCAACTATATTTCAATAGAAGACATGAACTCAGTGTTCATGAGGATGTTTATTGTGGGGAAACAGAGTTGTGATTCCACCTAAATTACGTTCAAGAATTTTAGAAGAACTACATGAGTCACATCCAGGCATAGTCAAAATGAAAGCATTGGCTCGATCATATGTCTGGTGGCCACAACTTACTAACTCAATTGAAAATAGAGTAAAAGAATGCGCTTCTTGCCAGGAAACGCGAAAAATGCCTGCAAATGCTGAACTACATATGTGGGAATTTCCCTCAAATGCGTGGGAACGAATTCATGTTGATTTTGCAGGACCGTTCATGGATATGATGTTTTTAGTTGTAATTGACGCGTATTCAAAATGGGCAGAAGTAATCCTATGCGTTCTATCATCGCAAAGAACTATCGAAGAACTCCGACACATATTTGCAAGATATGGTATATGCAAACAACTTGTGTCGACAAGACCTACTTTCGTCGGAAGAGTTTGCAAATTTTATGAAGAATAATGGAATACGTCATTCACGATCTGCACCATTTCATCTGTCGAGTAATGGTATGGCAGAAAGATTTGTCGGAATTTTCAAGAGTTCTCTTATCCGAGGGAGGAAGGAGAAAGGTGATATTTTACACAAACTGGATAATTTCCTACTAGCGTACAGAAATACACCTCATTCGACAACGAACGAGTCACCAGCCATGTTATTAATGAAGCGATCTCTACGATCACGTTTAGACTTGGTCAAGCCTGATCTAGCATCAAAAGTTAATGAAAAGCAAACTAACGTGCAAGATTCAAAAAGAAATCGTAAAACAAGATATTTTGAACTTGGTCAAGCAGTCTTGGCTCGTGACTATTCTAGCAAAAAGAGAAGATGGGTCAGTGGCACAATTATTAAACATCTTGGACCACTGACATACCTTGTCAAAATTTCTAATGGTGTAACTTGGAAACGCCATATCGATCAGCTGCTGAAAGCTTAAAATGACGAACTTTGTCGATACCTTGAAATATCCAATATCAATAGAGTAACTTCAAGTTTTCTAGCAAAATTGCACCATAACATCAGATCTTTGGCAAAATATGCCGATAATCTAGTTGAGCTAATTTCAAATTTTTGTATTCCACCTCAAATTATTGCTCTAAGCGAGACTAGGATCATGAGTGAAAACTGCTGTTGTCAATATTGATATCTCTGGTTACACTTTCATTCATGCTCCCTCCTCTACTCGCGCAGGCGGTGTTGGTTTTTATATTAGGGACAATCTAAACTTTCATTTATGCACTGACTTCAGCCCTTGCCTCCCAAACTGTGAGGACTTGTGGATCGAACTCAAATATTTCCAACCAACCTCAAAAATTCAAAATCTTGTTGTTGGTGTAATATATAGACATCCAAAAAACAATATCCCATCATTCACCACAGCAATGTCTTGTTTGTTTGAGAAGCTTGCGATGGCTAAAAAGCAATTTATTATATTAGGCGACTTTAATATAAATCTTTTTAATTCTTGTGACAATCCTACTACCAAGTATCTGGATATGCTAATGTCCAATGTCATATGTCCACTTATCACCAAACCAACCAGAGTGACCTCAACCTCCCACACATTAATTGACCACATCTACACTAATATCATAGATTCCCGCACTTCGTCATTTATTTTGCTCAGTGATCTCACCGACCACTTTCCCATAATGTGCACAATATCAGCAACTAATAGTAACGTTAAAACAAACACTCGCATGAAACGGGACATGACTAAATTTTGTGCTGACTCGTTCAGGCTAGAAGTTGAGTCAATGTGTAATAATTATACTAGTGTTATATTATCTGAAGTAAACTTCAATAGCTCATTTGATACTTTTCTTAGTCACTTCAAGTGGTTAATCAATAAGCATGCCCCATTAAAACCATTTTCGCGTAGAGAAAACAAATGTTATTCCAAACCTAGGATTACTAAAGGAATTCGTAATTCCATTAAACATAAGAACAAGATGTTCAAAAGTAAGTTCCTGAAGGGAACTTTATCCCAGCGTCTCCACTTTAAAAAATATAAAAATATTTTGACTCAGACCCTGTCGCGATATCCGTTGAATTTAATAAATTTTTTTCATCTGTAGGAAAGAGACTTGCCGATAATGTCCCACACAGTACGAAATCTTTCAAAGCCTTTTTGGGTGCTCCTACACAGAATTCGTTTTTTTCTGGAGCCACCAACACCTTTAGAAGTTCACCAAGTAATACTGAACCTGAAAAAAGGCAAAGCAGTTGGGCATGATAATATTCCTTTTATTTTTCTTAAAATTAGTCGCAGACAGCATATCCCCAGCTTTGAGTCATTTCTTTAATCTATCATTTAGTTTAGGAATTTTTCCTTCCGCTCTGAAGATTGCTAGGGTAATACCCATCTTCAAAAGTGGCAACAAAAATAATCCTTCAAATTATAGGCCAATTTCAATTCTACCCTGTATTGGCATCGTCCTGGAAAAATTAGTCTATAGAAGAATGCTCAACTTCGGATTCGGATTTCAATCCAATCACTCGACTTCCCATGCCATCCTAGATCTTATTTCATTTATCTATGAAAAAATTGATAAAGGGGAGTCTGTCTGTTGTGCATTCCTGGATCTAAAGAAGGCCTTTGACACAGTTGATCATCAAATTCTTGTCCAAAAGTTGATACACTGTGGTTTTAGAGGTAACGCATGCAAACTATTATGTAATTACCTGAGTGGTCGATCACAGTTTGTTGAAGTAGGATGTCATAGGTCTCCGATGTTGCCCATCTACTGTGGAATTGTCCAAGGTTCGGTCATTGGACCATTGGCTTTCTTACTTTTCATAAATGATTTGTCGAACTGTTCGAATCTTTTAACAAAACTCTTCGCCGATGACGCTTGCTTGCTTGCCAGTGCCAAAGATTCAACCACGCTCCAAAATACTATGAACACTGAAATAGATAAAATAATTGAGTGGATGTTATGCAACAAACTCACTGTGAACGTAAAAAAATCTAAAGTCATGCTATTCAGTCCTAAATCAATTAAAAAACATTCCAACATGTTAATCAAAATCAGGGGGGTTGCTTTGGAAGTTGTTCAATCCTTTAAATATCTCGGGCTCTATATAGATAGTAACTTAAAATGGAACACTCATATTACCGAGATGCACAAGAAATTGTCAAGGTCTGTTGGGATTTTGGGAAAACTTAGGCATTATGTGCAGGATGCTACCCTGCGAACCATTTATTTTGCTCTTTTTCAATCCCACATCCAATATGCTATAACTGCATGGGGCTCTGCAACACAAACCAACATTCACAAATTGGAGGTCTTACAGAATAAAGCTGTTAGAACTCTCTCCAGAGCGTCTATTCGTACAAACTTAAACACCCTTTACCATAAAACCAGGGTGTTGAAACTATCCGACATTTATACTCTAGAGATTGCCAAAGTTATGCACCAATTTCAGAATAATTACTTGCCCACAGCGTTCGACAATTATTTTGTTTCGCTTACCTCTGTGCATGAACACAACACACGCTCTTCGACCAAATCCAATCTTTTTGTACCTCGCTTTTCGCTGAGCAAATCTCAAAATTCCCTGAAATACAAAGGCGTAATAATTTGGAATAACATTCCCCAAAGTTTACGTGACTCCACATATGCTACTTTCAAAATAAAATACAAAAAATTCATGCTTTCATCCTACCTGTCTGCCTTTCACCAGCACATCTGTTTGATGTGCTTACTGACTTTCCCTCGGCACTGCCAGCAGAATGCTTGACTAGGTCCACAACCTCCCAGAGTCGACAGTACCTGTAATAAGTGAATCTGAATGTTTCATGTAAATATTTAAGTTGCTTCTTTATTATCATCTACTTCCATAGTGCATGCTCTGCACTATATTATACTGTATGGCCATTTGTCATACAATGGTAATTCAATTTTGCTCATAGCCTAATCGTATAGTGTTAGCAGTATCTTTCAACAGTTCTACACTCATCATGATCCTTGATATTGGTCTCTCACCAAATACAATTTAATAACTATCTCTATATATTTTTGTAAAAAGCTATCATATTTACCACTTTATTATTATTGTGCTTTGTTGCATTTTCGAAATTTATATATATAGCACTGTTGATACTCAGTGCTGCAGTGGTTATTTCATCCATCTGTTCATACACATATCGTGTTCATTCTATATTCTCAACGATTCCAAGCGGTATGCTTACTAATTTACAACGCTATTTATTGTTACCCCCATCTACTTTGTTGAGTTAACCTGTTTTTCACAGATTAGAATAATTTTTATCTGTAATGTATTAATGACGATTCGACTTACCCCAGCACTTGCAATCTTCTTGCACCCCAGCACTTGCAATCTTGCATGCACTTGCAATCTTATTCGAACTCTTGGCAAACATTTAAACTATGATTACGCCGTGTTATCGCATAATATCCCTACCGGGATATATTTAAAATCTGTTTAAATAACTATCAATTCCATAACGCTGCGATATCGGTTCGGTATCCTGTCATCGCACTGTACTGCATTCCTGCTGCCGTTCCCATAGTTACTCGCACATATGTGCTTGGAGTCGTTTTTGCTTTTCTGTGTTTCGAGCGTCTCTTGGATTCAGGTCGTCTCGATTTTTCACTTCTTTATATTCTTTTATTCATTGTTTGACTTTTTTCATTTTTATGATTCATTTATTAGACTTTAGCTCAGGTGTCGCCGCTCGATAACCAATTTTGGTTTTCGCGACTCCTTTCACCTCGAATTATCCGTTTTTGCTTCCTTTTACATTCTGTATGCATTTAGTGTATTTCATGTGTGGTGAAAAATAAACTACTGATTACTCTAGTTGAGTTGTGTGTATGTGAGATCAATGTCGTTTTCAAATTTTGTGATTTTGTTTTTGAGTGTGTAGAAATTTCGAATTTGTGGATGGCAAATTCTCAATTTCTAAGGGGCCGGGATGAAACTGCCTCTTTCGCTTCATATTTTTTGTTGTTCACCATTTGAGGCGCCGGTGATATATACGTTCACAGATTTTAGTGATTGAAACATCATAATACCCCGTGCGCGTTTGCTTCGCGCGCTGCTTCAGGACCTTGATTCGACCTTCTCAGTACTGTGGGATTTGTGGTGCAAGGTTTTCGTTGTCTGGTTGCAGATTTGTAATTCCAAGGTTTTAATTGTATTTTCATATATTTAGATTTATTAAACATTAACTTAATTTCAATAACTGTCCCAATCAACTGTCGATTGTTTTGTAAGCTGAAAGCTACACTGTCAAGTACGTATTTCAGTTTATTGTTTTTATATTTAGGGAATATTTCAGTTGTACCGTGTTCTATAATGACCACTTTTGTAATCAGCCGCAACTGTTATTTTACTGGCGTAAACCTGCGTATGTTAAGTTCAGTTCTAATGTGTACAATTTTGTTTAGTTAATGATTTCAATTGTCGAGTTATATCTTGTCGGCACATTTTTT